TGTCCGATGTAGTGTTTGTTACAGTCTCTGCAGGGGATCTTATAGATGACATTGGTCCTGTCCAGAGTGGGAAGTGGGTCTTTGGTTTGGGTGAGCAGTTGTCGTAGGGTTAATAAGGGTTTGTGCGCTATTCTGATGCCCAGTGGTCATAGGAGTCTTGTGGTTAGTCCTGATGTATTCCTGATGTAAGGTAGTGTGATGAGTGTCTCGGGGCGTGTAGTGTCTTCCTGGTGTTGTTCGTTTTGTAGGCATCTTCTGACCCAGTTTTTCGGAGATCCATTGTCCTTGAACACCTGGAAGAGGTACTCTTCTTTTCGGTGTAGCTCTGTGTTGCTGCAGTATGTTGTTGCTCGTTTAAATAATGTTCTCACGCAGCTTCGTTTGTGTGTGTTAGGATGGTTTCACATTGTTTCCCTTGCTAGTGGTATGTCTATCAATGACAGCACTACTAGAACAAGAGCAAGACCCCAGTGAAACCATCTCCACAGACAACATGCTGAAGCTACTGGACCTATGCCTCACCACCAACTTCACTTTCAACGGCCAAGTATACGAACAGATCAACGGGACACCCATGGGATCACCTATCTCCGGACCAATAGCCGAGGCGTGATGCAAAGACTGGAAAGTACGGCCCTTCCACCAATCCAACCAAAACTATGGCTACGCTATGTAGATGACACCTTTGTCATCAATAAACGGACCAAGGTAGAGGAGACACACAAACTAATAAATAACACCGTTACCGGAATCAAATTCACCAGAGAGGAGGAGAAGAACAAACAACTCCCATTCCTGGATGTCATGGTAGAGCGCAGGACAAATGGGGAATTCCTAATGAAGATACACAGGAAAGCCCCACACCCTGATCAAGTACTGAACTTCAACAGCAACCACCCTAACAGTTCCTAGAAGCCTGGTACTCCACGAAGAAAGCCATCAACGAACACGTAGAGGTCGACCCCATATACACTCCATTGCGAAGGAAAACCAGAAGTGAGGTAATCCAGCTCAACGGACTCGAGAGTTTAAATACCAGGCGGGAAAACATAACGACGCTTCATCGGAGGCTGCACTGATGTTCCCCAGAAGGGTAATGAAATGTCTGCGGAACAATGAACCAGCTCGGCGAGCCAACCAACCACAACATATAACATGTGACTTAAGTTGAGTAGAAGACAGCCCATCATTAAAAAAGCTATGATATAAACTACTGCTCCAATGACTCAGAGCTTGCTTTCTCCAGAAACATGAGTTGCTAATTCATCTCCACCCAGCAAAGTATTTCTTCTATTTGTATCAGGCCATCTACCCTGTCAAGCTGCCTGAAAATTTTGTATGTTTCAATAAGGTTGCCTTTCGTTCTTCTTATCTCCAGTGATTGAGGAAAACTTATTCAATCTGTCCTCAAAAGACAATCTCTCCATACCCGGAATCAATCTAGAGGGCCTTCACTGAACTGCTTCTGATGTTAGTATATCTTTCCTTCGAAAAAGGTCCCAAAACTTCATAGTATTCCAGGTGTGGTCTTACTAGTGCCTTGTATAGCTTTAGCAAGACTTCCCTATTTTTCATCTCCATTCACTATGAAATAAAGGCAGACATTTAAAGTTACCTTATCTGTTACCTGCTGAGCTTATATGCTAGCTTCTTTATGATTTATGCACAAGGACTCTCAAATCTATTTGTGCTGCAAGTTTTGCCATTTTTCTCCATTTAAATATTCAGCTCCTCTTTACCCCGCTGAAATGCGTAAACTCACATTTGCCACATTATAAGCCAAGTTTTTACACACACAACATTAATCTGTCTCATTCTCACCACTTGCCTTTTGACCTATTTTTGTTACCTGCAAACTTGAAAATAGTACAGTCACTTCTATCTTCCAAGTCAGTAAGATATTGTAAATAATTGTAGCCTAGCACTGATCCCTATGGCACACCACAAGAAACAGGTTGCCATCCTGAAAAAAATCCCTCTTTTGCCATCTTTGTACTGTTTGTTAGTCTGTCCTCTTTCCATGCTAAAATACTACTCAAACTATTAGCTAATATGTTAAGGTACCACATGATAGGGCACTTATCAAGTGCTTTTTGGGAATTCCGATATATTGCACTCACTGCTTTCCCTTTATCTTGCTTGTTACCTCAAAAAATTCTGAATTATCGGGCATGATTTCTCCTTCATGAAGCCATGTTGACTCTGCTTGGTTATATTATGTGTTTCTAAATGCTGTGCTGTTGCATCCTCCATAATAAACATTTTCCCAAAGACGTTAAGCCAGCTTGCATATACTTACTGTATATTTTTGTCTCTTCTCACTGTTTTAGCCAGTATGTGTTCTAGTTTATAATTTTTATTTCTATGCTGTATGGACCTTTTTTATTTGTATTCAATTACTGCAGTGTTTACTCTATTCAGATGAGATTGTTACAAAAGAATTTAATGGGAACAGGATGTAAGATTAATGCTGACATCCAGCGTTGGGCTTTCAAATTCCGATGGGCAGGAAGCCTCAAGGATCCTTAAAATCCATTACATCACATCAGTGTTGAGTTATTAATGGTTCCCTGTTGAGTTTACCATGGTGACCAGTATGATCATTCATAGTCTCCTGTGATTACTGATTTGTCAGCTTTCCTGGTGTGGTGCAGATGAAGTGCACATTAGACTAAGAGTTGAAAATTCAATTACATTTTAAATCAAAATTTATCTTCTGATTTCCTCATTTAAAATCTGAAAATGCTTGTGCTGTCAAACCTTTATCACTTACCTTTGTTTTTTTTTCTTCACGTTACGTTACAATGGATGATTACGTAGAATGCTGTTTGCCTCAGTCTTGTTCTCCTACAAGTAATGGGTACAAAATGTTGACAAACTTAAAACCAATTATGACTCAAAGGAAACTGGTTTGCAGTTTTTTTTTTGATTAGATGTTTACTATCTTATTTAAAAAGTGTTTTTTTTTCTTGTTTTTATTCATGTGATGTGGTCTTCACTAACAAAATCGACATTTGTTGTCCAGCTCATGCTTTGGATGCTGTGCTGTCAGCTGGAAATCTTGGCAAGCTAGATGAAGTCTTTATTTACAGAAACACTGAAATTTCTGGGCCTTAAATTCAAGATTTTGACAATTACATTTTTAATGAGCCTTGTTTAGATAATGCTGATAATTTGTTGACTATTGCTTTGATTAGTTTTTGGGTAAATGCGTGCAGGATAATTACATCTGAATGTTTCTAAAATCTGTATGCTGCTTTAAACTTGGGTGTATGCATAATACAAAATTTAATTAATGTGTAAAGGTCTAATTCATTTTTTAACATGTTTTGGACTTCAGCTATGCTAGCCTTAACGCATTTCACCTTTTCTTCTATAATTGTAATTTTCAATAAAGTTTAGCATCTGAAATAAAGTGAAAACAGAATCAACTTGCCACTGACATCTTTAAAAATCTTAATGCATAATGCTTTCAGATCGCTGCCTACAGTTTGCTTCTATTGCATGCATGTCAAAGTTTAAAGTTGCACTAACCTTAATAAAAGCATGTAAAAATATTTTGTGAATCAATGGGAAAGATAAAGACTTGTATTAAGACAGCAATTTTCATAACCATATCTCAATGCTTTATAGCTGTTGGAGTGCTTTTTGTAGGTGTATTCACTGTTGTAATGTAGGAAACACAATAGCTAATATGTGCCCAGCAATTTTTTGTTTTAAACTTTTGAGGGATAAATATTAGTAAGAGATAACACCCTTGCTCCCCTTTTGAAATCATGCCATGGGATTATTTGCATCCCCCTGAGCAGACAACTGCAGTCTCTGTTTAACGTTTCATGAAAGACGGCTCCTCTAGTAGTGCAGTGCTCCCTTGGTACTGCACTTGAATGTCAGCCGTAATGTTTCTGCCTACACGCTGGAGTGGAACTTGAAATTGGCACTTTATGATTCAGGGGCGAGTATACTGACAACTGGGATATGAACTGACTAAACAGTGTTACAGCAGAGTTTTGTGGTAGTAACTGTCCTTCATTGCTGTTAATGTGGAACTCCAGACAGTAGTGTTCAGAATTAACCTTACTCAGCTGAAAACTCTCCATTCAGAGTTTGCATTATTCTAGAAACTGTTCTATTCCTACTGTCCATTTAGAGCAATGCCGTGGAAGCATTTTATTTCTTGGCACCAGAAAGCTATTTGAGTAAGTTGCAGTCGATTTCAGTATGGATGGTATGCACAGTCTGACTTGTGTCAAAATTAAAGGCGGTACGATTTTAGATGTTTCTTTCAGACATTTGTGTTCAGAGCGAGATTTTGAAGGACTGATGGTGGAAGCAATGCACAGCACAATTAGAAATGCATTACAGAACACAAAAATGTTTGTCTGTTTGTATATTCTATGGTGTAATCAAACAAATTATATTTAATCATACTTTGCGTTTCCAATAAGTATGAGGCATATCTAACACAAATTACCAATGTTAAGAACAAGTATTGAATAGAGGAACTGGATGTAAGAGCTATTCTTCTTCCTAACACTGAATCCTTGAGGTCATTTAATCAAGCTCTACAGTTGGGTTTGGTTTGATGGGGTGAATTCAAATCTCTTTGGTAGGCTACTAAATAGATGTCTAATTTTGAGACACAAAAACAGAAGTTGCTGGAAAAGCTCAGCAGGTCTGGCAGCATCTGTGAAGGAGAAAACAGAGTTTTCTGAGGGAGGGTCACCGGACCGGAAACGTTAACTGTTTCCTCCTTCACAGGTGCTGCTAGACCTGCTGAGCTTTTCCAGCAACTTCTGTTTTTGTTCCTGATTTACAGCATCCGCAGATCTTTTGGTTTTTGTCTAATTTGAGAGTTTGCTATCATTAATACTATCTTTACAGTGTTAGGACAGCATATAGTTATTTCCCAGTGGTGTACACTGGAGTTGCAGTATTGTTATACTGAAAGTCTTTCCGCAATTTATAAAACTTACTTTCATCTAATTAGTCTGCTTCAGTTTACAGAGGAGAAGCTGGGCCAAGCTGAGAAGACAGAGTTGGATGCCCACCTAGAGAATCTACTGAGCAAAGCAGAAAGCACAAAACTATGGACTGAGAAGATAATGAAACAGACGGAGGTGTTGTTACAACCTAATCCAAGTAAGAAATGGTTTATTGTGTAAATTTTTTTTTTTTTTTTTTGAAAATGCCCTAGTACCTTCAGTTTAGTATTAGATTTAAATACAATAACCTTAGAACTGCAGTTCACAGGATGTGTAGAAGTTACAACCCTTAACTGGGACAATCAATTCAGTCAGTTCATATTGGATGCTGTAAATTCGAGCATTTATGCTATGATGTGCCTTTTTTAATTGTTTTATGTCTTTATATTGTGTTACCGGCTGAATAAATCAAACCCCTTTGGAAAACCATATTCACACCATGAAAGAGCCCTTAGATTTAATTTTGGTCAAGTTAGGCTGTTTTATTTATGGTATTCTTAGAGAGAATTGCTTCGGAGCATGTGATTTGATTTTTTTTTAATTCAAACTTGGCTTCTTGCGTGTTCAACTCTTAATTGTATTTATTGGGATGAAGGAAGAATCTAATTAGCTTGAAGAGTTTGCACTATTAAGATTTGAGGTTACATAGGGCAGAACCTTTGGTTTGAAACTGTAGAGAATTTCACAATTGAGAATTTATGGCTTTGTGGTTTTTCAAGGTGTCAGTTTTTATGTACTTTGGTACTTTCATTGCCAAAAGTGAGAAATGTAACTACTGTTCGTAAAGTTTTTAAAGAATCCTGTTACTAAAACTCTTCAACTTCATATCAGTGTTTCTTGCTGGAGATTTCTCAGAAAGCACATTTAAAATTTTTCAATGGTTGAGAGATGTATCAAAACTAAGTTTCTTAACCATCTGCAACGTTGTCAGCAAGAATTCCCTTATCCAAAGTAAAGTTGTTTTTCCTTACACTATACCAACCAACATGATGGCTGAAAGTAGAAGTAAATAAATCAATAAACTCTGACTACACACCTCACCTTTCAGTAGGGACTCCTATTCAATTCTTCTGCATTGTCTGTTTCCGTCACACACTTTTTATCATGTAGCCTTCCATACCAGCACTTACAAAATGTCTTCCTTTTTCCTCAATTGAAGATTTCCCTCCCCATTGTGGTGACAGAGTGTTTGACCACATCTGTTCCATTTCATGTTCTTCTGCAGCAATGCCTTCCTGTCCCCTAGCTTTCCAAAACCATGTGAGAGCTCCTCTTCTTGCCATTCACCCCACCAGCCTCTCTCTTCAATGCATAATTTTTCTTCACCTCAGCATGATGCCACCACCAAACATGTGTTTGTCTCTTTTCAACATTCCAAAGTGACCATTCCTCCATTACACCATCTCTCATCCTTAAACCTCTTCCCTTCGCAAGTCATAGCATCTCCAGGAAGAGATATCTCCTCACTGTTTACCATCCAAGGCGACAAACAGTTCTTTGAGGTGAAACAGCAATATGCAACTACTTTCAGTGTAGTTTGCCATATTGATTCCCCTCAATATGGTGGGACCAAATGCAGATTGAGTGACCAGTGTTGCAGTCCACAAGCCTGAGCTCAAGTTTTTACCATTTTAGTGCTTGAATATGATCTGACTAAGACTCTCTACCCACAGCCCCAGAGGTACTCTTTTGAAGTTCAGAGAGTCCAACAGTTCCAGATCAGAAACTCTGCCCCCATTTTGTTTTCTTTTGACTTTTCTGATTTACTTTGTTTCTTTCTTTGGATGCAGGTAGCAATTGCTTATGACACTTGCGTTCACAACTGCACTCGATGTATTCTTTTATCTTTCCTAATGCTGCTGTTACTCCCCTTTAATCCTACACCATCAGTCCTTTTGTCATTAACCTCTCCTGCCTTCCAGTTTATCATAGGCCTTCTCTTTTGTTCTTTTTCCCACTCTCTCCCATTCACTTGCTTCAAACCTGTTATGTGTGTAGCTTTCCTAATTCTGGCAAAAGACTATCAGTTGAAGTGTTAATTTTCTATCCCCATAAATGATAACACAACATGCTGAATATTTCCAGCATGTTGTGTTTTTTATTTCTGATTTCTAGCATCAACAGAATTTTCCTTTTTGTATGCTAATGTTGAGCATCTGGTTTCAAACATCGGACAAGTTTCTGGAGTATAAAACCTTTCAATCAGCAAATCATGATGAAGCTTAAAGTTTCTTTTCTTTCTTTTAATTTTTAGCTGTGGTGATGAGAGGTTAAATAATGTTTATCATTTGGAATAGAAATTTGGAAACATAAAAAATAGGAAAAGGAGTTGGCCATTGGGCCTTTGAACCTGCTCAATATGATTGTAACAGACCATCCAACTCTGTACCCTGGTCCTGTTTTCTCCTCATACCCTTAAATCCCTTTAGCCCTAAGAATTATATCTAATTTCTCCTTGAAAGAATTCCCCAGGCTCACCACTCTGGGTGAAAAAAATCCTTCACATCTGTCACTCACTCACTCTCTCGCACACGCACACGCATTTAGTCTTCAAAACCCCAGTGAATATCATCCTAACAAATAGAGTTTCTCTTCATTAATCAGTCATGTAATCCCGTGAATCAGTCTGGTAACCTTTCATGGTACTCCTTCTGTAGCCAGAACATCCTTCCTCAGATAAGCAAGCCAAATCTGCACACACCACTCTAAGGGTCTTGGTGAGACCACACTTACACAATTGCAGCTAGACTTCCTTGCTCTTGATCTCAAATCCTCTTGATATGAAGGCCAACATACCTTTTCCCACCTCCTCCACCTGCTGCACCTTTGGCTTATTTTCAGCAGCTGGTGTACAAGGTCACTCAGCCTTATTGCACCTTTCCCTTTCCCATTGTTTCTTGAGTAATGTTTCTTAGTGCTGTGGAATAGTGGTGTATTTCACGCAGCCTGTATTGACTTCAAACTCTCCCAGTTGAGTTGCATCACAAATTTAAATGTGTGGAACCCCAGCAGTGGGGTTCCAACTAAAATTAAAACAGAAAATACTGGCAAAACTTGCCATGTCTGGCAACATCTGTGGAGAAAGAAAAGCAGTTAACATTTTGAATCCAATGACTCTTCTTTTGAACCAAAATTCTGTTAACTTTTTGCTTTCTCTCTCCACAGATGTTTCCTGACCTCCTGCATTTTTACAGCACTCTTTTTTTATTTAAGATTCATAGTATTTTGCTTTTATTTGAGTTATTAAACTGTGCAAGATTACCCAATGCTATCAGCATACCACCATCAGCTGTCCAGGGATGGGGATGTGCTTTGGTGTTCTTTAAGCAAGATTGTCAGCTGGAGTTAGCTGAGTGTTCGGGTTAATTTTGTTCTGTAAACTCATGCCTACAAATAAATCAATTAATAACACACACAAGGTGGTTCCTCTAAAGAAAAAAAAACTTTACAACCAGCAGACAATGGAGATTTTCATCCCCGTCAACTTGAGCTTGAATGGACCTATCTCATTCAGTAACTGTAGGTAAGAAATGGTATGGAGCTAAAGTCTTTAAGTGAAGATGAGGTACAGATCCGTGTTCATCTGAGTGGTGAAACAAGATTTGGGGACTGAATAACCTACAGTTGTTTCTATTCAACTACCCAGTCCACAAGTAGAATAATTGTTGAAATCAAGCACCTTAAGATATTCTGACTGAATTCATGATTGCTGTTAAAATGCAACTACAGTAGTTTTTAACTGCATGTGGCAAATGCAGAAATTGAACCTCATTTGCAGTCTTCTAATATATTAGCATGATCTGTAAATCAGATTTCATTCGCTTCTACCCTTTCATCTTTCAGATGCAAGAATAGAAGAATTTGTATATGAGAAACTGGATCGAAAAGCACCACCTCGTCTAAATAACTGTGAACAATTGGGGCAGTATATGATTGAGGCTGGAAATGAATTTGGTCCTGGCACTGCATATGGTAAGAGAATTCAACCATTTAGACAAAACCTAACTACTTTTTGTATTACTAAGTACAGTTTTAAAACAACTTATTTCTTAAAGATGTTATAATTGCTTACTAAAATAATACCATGGAATGCCACAGGCGCGATTGGCCTTTTCTGTATTGTGGTGTTCTGTGATAAATGGTGGTTTAACCTGAATGTAAACGACTTCAGTATTTTAACATAGTTGACGAACTTCAGCTTTCATAACTGGAGTTGAAGGAGGTGATCAGCCATGACCTTGTTGAATGGCAGAGCAGACTCTGACCAAATGACCTCCTCCAGCTCCTATTTCTTACTTTTCTATGTTCTCTCATCAGACTTAAACCTCCCTGTGCCAGCTTATAATATTAGACAAGTCAACCAACCTGATTGTTTGGTCATTTAAAAGGGTGCCAGTCAAACAATGATCATCATGTTAACAACCAAGCTGTTAATAATTGCTGGCCATTGGGAGTAACTCTCAGGCGTATACTGGTTTCAAATTGCTGTCTTCTGTGCAAAACTTAATTTCTGATCACTTTGAAATGGTTTGATTCCCTGGCACTAAACAACCATAGAGGAATCTCCATTGAGATGAACTCTGTACCGTGGAAAGGCTCTTAGTTAGAACATAGAACAGTACAGGCCCTTCGGCCCACGATGTTGTGCTGAACTTTTACCCTAAACCTAAGGTCTATCTAACCTCCACCGCTACCTTATACTATCATCCATATGCCTATCTAATAGCCGCTTAAATGCCCCTAATGAGGCAGACTCCACTACCCTCTCTGGCAATGCATTCCACGCCCCTACCACTCTGAGTAAAGAACCTACCTCTGACGTCTCCCCGGTAGCTACCTCCTTTCACTTTAAGACTATGTCCCCTCGTAAAAGCTACCTCCACCCTAGGAAAAAGTCTCTGGCTGTCTACTCTATCTCTACCTCTGATCATTTTGTACACCACTGTCAAGTCACCTCTCATCCTCTGTCGTTCTAAAGAGAAAAGCCCTAGCTCTGTCAACCTTTCCTTGTAAGACCTTCCCTCAGTTCCAGGCAACATCCTGGTAAATCTCCTCTGCACCATTTCCAACGCTTCCACATCTTTCCTGTAATGAGGTGACCAGAACTGGACACAATTCTCCAGATGTGGCCGAACCAGGCTTTTGTACAGCTGGAGCATAACTTCACGGCTCTTGAACTCAATCCCTCTATTAATGAAAGCTAACACACCATACGCCTTCTTAACAGCCCTATCCAACTGGGTGGCAGCTCTGAGGGAACTGTGAACATGAACCCCAAGATCCCTCTGCTCCTCCACACTGCCAAGAATCTTTCCGTTAACCCTGCATTCTGCTTTCAAGTTAATACTTCCAAAATGAATCACCTCTCACTTTTCAGGGTTAAACTCCATCTGCCACTTCTCAGCCCAGCTCTGCATTCTATCAATGTCCCTTTGTAACCAAGAATAGCCCTCCGCACTGTCCACAACGTGACTCACTTTGTATCGTCCGCGAACTTGCTAATCCACCCTTCCACTCCTTCATCCAAATCATTTACAAAAATCACAAATAGAAGAGGACCCAGAACAGATCCTTGTGGTACACCACTCGTAACTGAACACCATGTTGAATATTTTCCGTCCACTACCACCCTTTGTCTTCTAAGGGTCAGCCAATTCTGAATCCAATCTGCCACATTTCCCCCTATCCCATGCCTCCTTACCTTCTGCATGAGCCTACCATGGGGAACCTTATCAAACACCTTACTTGAATCCATGTATACCACATCCACTGCTCCACCTTCATCCACGTGTTTGGTCACCTCGTCAAAGAATTCAATAAGGTTTGTGAGGCTTGATCTACCCCTCACAAATCCATGCTGACTATCACGAATCAAACTGTGCCTTTCCAAGTGATCATAAATGCTGTCTCTCAGACCCCTTTCCAATAATTTGCCCACCACTGACGTAAGACTAACTGGCCTGTAATTTCCAGGGTTGAGCCTGTTCCCTTTTTTGAACAAGGGAATGACGTTTGCTTCTTTCTAATCTTCCGGCACTATGCCTGTGGATAGTGAGGACGAAAAGATCATCGCCAAAGGCCCTGCGATCTCGTCCCTCTCTTCCCATAGAATCCTTGGATAAATCCCATCAGGCCCGGGGGGACTTATCTATCTTCAACTTCCTCAGAATTCCTAGCACATCTTCTTTACTAACATCGACCTCCTCTAGCCTACCTGCCTGGCTCACAACGTCCTCCTCTACAACTAGGTCCCTCTCAGTTGTGAATACTGAAGAAAAGTATTCATTAAGGACCTCTCCTATTTCTTTAGGCTCTGTGCACAAATTCCCTTTTACAATTCTTGTTCGGCCCTACCCTTTCTCTGGTCATTCTCTTGTTCTGCACATACATGTAAAAAGCCTTGGAGTTTTCCTTGATCCTATCTGCCAAGGTTTTCTCATGCCCCCTTCTAGCTCTCCTAAGCCCTTTCTTCAGCTCCTTCCTAGCTAACTTGTATCCCTCTAGAGCCTTTTCCGTTCCTCTTTTCCTAAACCTCTCATAAGCCTCCTTCTTCCTCTTAACCAGTCGTTTGGCCTCTCTTGAGAACCATGGCTCCCTCACTCGACCGCATTTTCTCTGCCTGCTAGGGACAAACATATTGAGCACGTGCAGTATGCATTCCTTAAACAATCTCCACATTTCTGTGGTGCTCTTCCCTTACAGCATCTGTTCCCAATTTATGTTACCCAGCTCTTGCCTAACTGAATTGTAATTACCCTTCCCCCAGTTGTAAACTTTACCCTGCCATATGAACCTATCCTTATCCATTACTGTCGTGAAGGAAACAGAGTTATGATCGCTACCACCAAAATGCTCTCCTACCAACAGGTCTAACACTTGGCCCGAGTCGTTGCCAAGCACCAAATCCAAAGTGGCCTCTCCTCGTGTTGGTCTATCTACATACGGTGTCAGGAATCCTTCCTGAACACACTGGACAAAATCTGCTCCATCTAAACTATTACAACTAAAATGTTTCCAATCAATATTTGGAAAGTTGAAGTCACCCATGACTACAACCCTGTGACTTCTGCACCTTTCCAGTGTCTGCCTCCCAATCCACTCCTCTACTTCTCTGCAACTAATAGGGAGTCTGTTTAAAAAAAAAAAAAAACCCCAACAAAGTGACTGCTCCTTTCTTGTTCCTGACCTCAACCCAAACTGACTCTGTAGACACATCATTCTCGAACTGCCTTTCAGTAGCTGCTATACTCGCCCTGACTAGCAATGCCACTCCCCCACCTCTTTTTCCACCGTCCCTGCTTCTTTTAAAGCATCTAAATCCCCGGAGCTTCCAACAACCATTCCTCTCCGAGTTACCCAAGTTTCTGTAATGGCCACAACATTGTAGGCCCAAGTACCGACCCATGCTCTAAGTTCATCCGCTTTATTTCTGATACTTCTAGCATTGAAGTATACATACCTCAAACCATCTCGGTGTCTGCAATTACTCTCCATCGACCGCATTTCTTTATAAACCACCTCGCTCCCTGTTGTGTCTGTTGGAAGGCCGAATATCTCATCCTCTGAATTATAAATTCGGTTCCCCACCCCCTGCCAAACTAGTTTAAACCATCCCATACAAAACATTTAGTTGTGAGATGTCCCTTTTGGTCCAAAGTGAAAAAAGAGAGAACTCTGGATGGAGTGATAATTTGAGTTCCTGGCTGTTAGATCATTGGGTTACAGAGAAGTTAGTCTGGTTAGAGAGAGAGGTTTCAGATAAGAGAAAAAGTGGTAAACTAGACTATAACCAAGTTAACTGTGGAGATGGGAGCTAGTACACCAGAAAATGGAAACAGTACCTAATTTGGTGTTAAGCTACAGCTTGTGCTGCTGCAACGTGCACAATTTGCAAGCAAGCTAAATGAGAATGAATTGTAAACCTACAACAAAGTATAAACGTTTTTATCAGGGTCCTCATCTGTGAACTGGTTGTTGATGATGAAAAGGAACTTTGGAAAATTACGCTATCAGGGTGCAGAACTTGTATGAGTGTGTTCTTTGGTGTCAGCCATATTTGGAACTTCCAATTGAATTTGCAGCCAGTGAAAAACACAAGGACTGAGGGATGTACCAGAGGTAAAGTTAAAACTGCACTGGTGGTCATTTTATTTGAGAGTCCTTTGTCTTTGTAGTATTAGTTGGAAACTTTTTCTTACGTAAGAAATCGTTTGTTATTGTATGAATCTTTAGAATCCCTACAGTGTGGAAACAGGCCCTTCAGAGCACCCACCCAAACTCATCCCCCTATAACTCACTTAATCTACACATCCCTGAACACTATGGGCAATTTAGCATGGCCAATCCACCTAGCCTGCACATCTTTGGACTGTGGGAGGAAACCCACGCAGACACGGGGAGAATGTGCAAACTCCACACAGTCGCCCGAGGGTAGAATTGAACCCGGGTCCCTGGCACTGTGAGGCAGCAGTGCTAACCACTGAGCCACCGTGCCGCCATATTTGGAACCTTAATTTTGCTTAATTTTACATTGATTTTGGGTTTGACTGTAAAAGTAGAAGTTTTAAAAAATGAAATCTTGTCTATCAACTTCTACCAGAGTTTCTTTTTTTAGGGATTCCTTTCTTTTCAGGTTTTTAACCTGTCTAGGGGGAGTCATGATACCGTCCTGCTGTGATGGTCCAGTTATATTTTCAATGCGTAGACCAGTATCAGAAACACAAAATTGCTGCCACAGGATAAGTTGCTGTGTTGGGTCTGTAAAATCCCAGCTGTAGAGAATATAATTCACCCATTATACTACAGGGCTCAAACAAAATAATAGAATTATATTGAAATGGAAGTGAGAAAAGTCCCTATTTTAATCAGGTAAAGGAAGAGCCTGAGTAATTATAAATATTATTTTCCTCCCAACAGGCAGTGCTCTTATCAAATGTGGAGAAACCGAAAACCGAATTGGTACTGCAGAAAAGGAGTTAATACATTCCTCAGAAGTTAACTTTTTGGCCCCCCTCAGGAACTTCCTGGAAGGAGACTACAGAACAATATCTGTAAGTTGAAGCCACTTCCACTTTAATGCCAATGCATCTTTGTTGTTTGTTACATTTATGGCCAGTTTTCCATCTCCAGAGTTCTGAATTTTTTTTTTGTGGATGTGATATTTCTCTCCTTCCTGCCATGTGTACACCCCATGATTGTGCAGGAGAGCAGCTTCCATTAAGAATTAGCAAGCGATAACTTTGACTTGACTTGACTTTCCTTTTCTATATGTCAAATCTGCTCTCTGCTCTTCTGTTGAAATGCATTAGAGACTTAAATTTTCTGTTACGAATTCAATTTAAACTGTAATGTTGGATAAGTGGGTGTTGGCAATTGTCCAGGGCAATTCTCCCCCAGTTTATTTTACGAGCAACATTGATAGCTAATGGGTATCTTAGCAACTATCACCTACTGGAAGCTTGACCTAAAAACCTTAACTGAATAAATTGAAAATGCTTGAATTAATTATAACATCTGCTACCCCAGTTAGTCCACACAGACTGGCAGCTTTCCTTTCTCCGTAATAAAGACAAAACACTGTGGGTGCTGGAAATCTGAATCAGGATGCTGGAGAAACTCAGCAGGTCTGTCAACACCTGTGGAAAATGAAACAGTTATCAAGTTTGGTACGACTCTTCTTCGGAACTCGATGAACTCGAAACATTAACGCTGTTTCTCTCTTCACAGATGCGACCTGATGTGCTGAGTTTCTCCATTTTGTGTTTGTCTTCTTTTTTCTATGACTCAGTTATGCATTTCTTCTGAGACTGTTCCAGCTTTTGTATCTGATTTATTTCCAATACTATCAGACTGAGTTTGAGTGGAGAATGGCTGTGTAGACAGGCCCTTCATTGCACTAACAGCTAACAGTCTGGTAATGCACCATAAAGGATCGTGATGCAGAATGGGAAGAGAGGTCCTTTCTGTGCTGAACAATTTATTCAATTGAATTATTATTGGTCTTCTATATCATTGATGTTCAGGTTTGATTGTTGGTTACAGAAGGAACGTAAACTGTTGCAGAATAAAAGACTGGATTTAGATGCAGCAAAAGCAAGACTGAAGAAGGCAAAAGTCTCAGAAGCCCGGTCAGCAGTAAGTAAAGCACAAACTGGTAGGAATAGCCTGTTGTAATTTTAAGGTAGAGATCTACTTGGAAAATCTCCCAACTATTGAGCCCTGTATGCTTAAAGTATTCTGGAGATTTGTATATGAAAGTGTAAGAAATTATTCTTAGAACGCAGACAGCCTTAAATAACAACTTCTGTTATGGTGGATAAGCTTGTTTGTAAGTTTTTAATTTAAGGCATTATCTTAGCCAAGTTTAAATAAATATCAGTTATTTAAAACATTAACTTGATTCGAAATGCTGTAAAGGATTTCTCTTAAGCGCGTTAAGGACACTGGTTTCATAGTAAGGTCACCAGAACCCATATGGAAATATTCTGGGGGACATAGGTTCAAACCCCATCATGGTAAACGGGGAAATGTGAATTCAATAAAAACGTGGAACAAAACCTTGGCTTAATGGTGACCATGTAACCATTTTCAAATGTTTCTTTTTTCAAAAAAAAGTCCAGTTCCCTAATGTCATTTAGGGAAGGAATTCTGCCATTGTGATCTGGCTTACAAGTGATTCCAGACCCATAGTCATGGAGTTGACTCTTAATTGCCCTCTGAGCCTATAGGGATGGACAACAGTTGCTGGTCTAGCCAATAATGTCCACATTAATTTTTTTTTAAATTGTGTATTATTTTTCCATAATAAATGTAGTACTTTTTGAGATGTGTAGCATACTGCGAACAATTTTGGTATCTGTCAGGATTCAGTGGTTTAACTTGTTGATCTAGAGGAAGATATAGATTCAAGTTCTACTACAGAGACTTGAATGCAGTGCTTAGTGATTGTGTTGCACATTTCAAAGATGAGTTTTGGATGAGGTGTTAAACCAAAGGCCTCATTTGCACCTTCAAGCAAGATGACCTTGGGTGTTAAAGATTCCTACCATTATTTTGAAAACATGCAGGGGACTATATCTGGGTAAACACTATTTTCATCCCTCAACTGTCACATAAACAGATCATCTGGCCACTATCACATTGCAGTTTGTGTAATTGCTGTGTACAATTTGACTGGTTCATACATTACAGTAGGGCTACACTTGAAAAGCACTTCATTGAACACTGAGGTCATGAAAGTTGTTATATGAATGCAAGTCTGTCATTTGCGAACACTCAGTCTGTAGGTTGTACGTGGAACCGGTGCTTAAATAACTACTCTGTTCAGCTCCCATCTGGAACCGTGCAGAGCAAAAGCCTCCGGAATATGAAAAAGCAGAGATTTATGTCTGGATGGTCCCAAGCTGGCCATTTCGTTTCCATCTTTGGCAGAAGCATTGAATATCAGGTTGATAAATTCAAATGATGTGGCCTTTGGTAGCAGTGTTTGAGTCACGACGTAGCCACACTTTATGACAGTCATTAGGAGGATGATCCCATGCATTGAACTTTCTGTAATTTCAGTTGAAACAATTTTGTAAACCAAGCTTACATAACTGATCCTTGAAATATAACCTACTTGGATGCCTAAATTCCTTTGCTACTCCACAGTTGCTAATTTTTCGCCACTAGAGAGAGTTCCCATTTGTCTGTCTTGAATACAAAATGGACGGCCTCGTGCTGAACCCTGAGACATTTAGATTTTGCAATGGCTAACTGAATCCAAGTTCGGTTGTAACTCTAAAGTGAAGGTGAGTATGAAGGCATATAGTTTGGGTGTTATGAAAGGCCCTATAGTACAGTACTTCATAAAAATCCAAGAAAATTCCTAATTCAAGTTGCTATGGATAATTATAATACTTATGTTGCACTTCTTGAAATTGCTGGGCTTTTGACCTCCACCATATCTATGTAGTAAATAGCGCAGTGGGTGAGTTGTGGTGGTAGTGCCCAAACAAATAGAAAGTATATTGATGTGCTCTCGGCAGAGATCGGTGCATGGCAATAAGGGGAGAAGGATTCTTGCAGAAGCCTTATTGGTCAGTGCATTGGGTGTGGGGTTTGGAGCATCATGTTGCAGTTATACAGGACATTGGTGAGCACACTTTTAGAATACTGCATTCACTACTGGTCTCCCAGCGAGAGGAAGGATGTTGTTAAATTTGTGAATCTTTTCTGAACCCTTTCAAAGATATTGCTGTGATTGGGGGGATGGAGTTTGAGCTATAGGGAGAGGTTGAATAAGCTGGGGATTTTTTCCCCTGGAGTGTTGGAGGCTGAGGGGTGACCTTATAGACGCTTATAAAATCATGAGGGTCATGGATAGGGTAAATAGACACAGTCTTTTCCCTGCGGTGGGGGAGTCCAAAACTAGAGGGCACAGGTTTAAGGTGAGAGGGGAAAGATTTAAAAGGGACCTGAGGGGCAATGTTTTCACACAGGGTGGTGCATGTATGGAATGAGCTGCCAGAGGAGGTGGTGAGGTGGGTACAATTGCACCATTTAAAAGGCATTTGAATGGGTACATGAATAGGAAAGGTTGAGGGAAATGGGTCAAATGCTGGCAAATAGCACTATAATAGTTGGGGTAGCTGGTCAGCATGGACGGAGTTAGACCAGAGGGCCTGTTTCTGTGCTCTATAACTCTGAATCTCATAGAGTCAAAGTGTATTAAAAAGTTTTTCAGGGGATGATTGCCACATGTACAGATTGTGGTTTTTCATCTGCATTCGACATGGCTCTTGCTTTTGGGCTTATCACAAGGATTAATCAGATCGGTTGGTACAGAAACTTACAATTGAATAGCTTTGTCAGAATCCCACATCCTGAGGATTGGGAAAATAGGATAAAGAGAGACCAGTCACCCAGGAAAAGGTAAAACATTTGGTGATTGTGACTAAAGGAAGGCATAACAGAAAGTAGTTTTGAGAAATCTTCCAAAAATAAGAGAGTGACAAAAAAAAATTTGAGGAAGTATGTTCCAAAAGCAAGAATATCGTGGCAAAAGGCAACTGATAATTGAACAAAGAAAGAAAGAGAAAGTAAATATACAGAATGTCAGAGTTGTAAGAATGAGAGATAGGAATGTGGATGCAAGATTAGAGAAAGCTGCATGCTACAAGAGGGGATTTATAAATGAGGATAAGTATTTTGAATTCCACACATTCAAGATGGTAAAACACTGGCGGTGGTTGAGATGGGATGATAGAGAAACAGGAGATAGGCCTAATCACTTGACTAAAAGTAAATCACTTTCCTTCAATTATTAGATTAACCCATCATTGAAGAAGTCAGATGATTCATTGGATATTTCTTAAATGACTGCTGATGAGAATGATATTGAGTGGTTCGCTCTCTGATTGCACAGTATTCCTTCATCTCTCCAGTCTGTGCTAGAATTTGTCTCAAGATGATTGATAAAAGTTTTTTTCCTTGTTTTCTATCCCAACTTGTTTTATTGCTGATCTGTTAGAGACCAGCAACTGATAGCAAGAAAAATATATTTATTCTAAAGTAAAATATGCTTGGTAAAACTACTATCACAAGGCTTAGAAGCAAAGTGATTAGGGTTATTTAAGTATATTTAGATGTGCAGATATTTAGATGCCCAAAGATGTGCTGGTTGCAGGATTGGCCATGCTAAATTGCCGTAGTGTCCGGGGCAGCCTAGGTGGATTAGCCAAGGTAAATGCGGGCTTATGGGGATAGGGTGGGGGCCTTGGTCTTTGTAGGATGTTCTTCAGAGGGTCGGTGTAGACTCGATGGGCCGAATGACCTCTTACTGCACTGTAGGGATTTTATGGTTCTAGATTCTAACAACACAATTAATGTACTTAAGCAAGAATTGATTAGCCAAAAGGCCTTTCCTCACCTTTTTTGAGCTTTCTTGTATTCTGTTAGATTTCAATAATGCTGAAGGATATAGGTAATTGAAAAGAAGTCGCTGAAGTAGTATGGCTTTGTGCTGCAGAGTAAAGCATGTGGTAGGTGCATGGTAGAGACTATTTTTCATTTGCCACATACAGTATCTGAGCTAGAAATGTTTAATTCTGATGCCAGTTTGAAAGCATTCCATTTCTAAACACCTTTCATCCCAAGTGCAAAAATTAGTTTGAATTTGAGTTTTAATTAAACTAAAATGCTATTATTTTGATACTGAATAATTATATAAGTTATTTTAAAAGCTTGACTATGTTAGAGTAAGTTCTCAAATGGTTCAAAAAGCCATGATATTGTTTTTTGGAATGGTCGCAAGAATAGCAGGTCTGTAATTACAATGTGATTGTTGCTCTGACACTATCAATCTATGTGTTATATTTTCTTATCTGTATGTGAGTGAGGGTGTTGGTATTTAATTCAATTGATTGAGCTTTACAGTAGCTGTTCAAACTGGTTTGGGCTCGGACTATGATAAAATCTAGATGAGTGCCTTAACATCAAGTTAATAGGCATTTAGACCAGGTATACAACTGGGAGTTAGCAGATGCCAGCTACCAAAGCAATTGGATGCTAATAAGTAATCCTGAGACTACACAGCAGAGAAAAAAATCACAAATCCCACACCAGATTACTAGCACTGTTGCTGGTTGCTGAGAAAGGAATTTGTTTTGGTGTTGGTGCCTCCAATTAAATAACTGGCCAGTACATGAACTCTCTCACATGGCCGGTTAGAGAAGGCACTGTTGCTTGTAGAGCAGTGTTCCTCAAACATCTGTGAATCAGAGTTGAGAAGTTTGATTTCTAAAACAGTGCATTATTATGCCGTGTACAATATGATAATAACATGGTAGTGAACCTGAATCCACTGTTGATTAAAGTATACTGTATTTTATACAGTGTGCGCCTCTTCAGCTTTACAGCTTAAGTTATTGTCATTTGGCTAATATGACTGTCTCTTGTCCTTGTTTACTTTACCTGAATGTTCTAGCAACTAAACGCTTCTGAAGCTGAAGGAGACAACTTTATGGTAAATTTCTCTTACATGCTCAACTTGCTGCATGTAACATGGCTGAAGGTTTGTTGGCCTTGTGTGTTTTGACTTTATACTTGAATGCTTACTCTTGCTATCACAACCTGGTGATCCTGGGTTGACAAGTTTGTACTTGTTATCTCGGGCAAACTACTAAACAAGGTAGATTTGAATTAGTAGTTTTGTACTCATTTTAAAACTTGTTCTCCCTACTTTACTGCAGTGTATTTATCTAGATTTTCAATTTTCTTTTCCTCAGGGCTTTAATATTTAAATAAATCTTCCTCTCTAATTTTAGTTGGGAGGAGAAGCAAAATTTGCTCAATTCCAGATGGATGCATCTCTTGTCCTGCTAAAATAATTCACCTTTTGTTTTAATTCTTGTTAAAGTCGCATGTTGTGACTGCCATTGAATAATTGACATTTGATAGCAAGAGGAGGTATAGCTGTCCTTGTGTTTACTCCAACACTGTTTCTGACCCCCATCCCTGTGGCCTCTGGAATTGTACAATTTTAGTATTCTGTAATTATACAATTTTTGCACTGACCCTTTCAGTACTGAATGTTCACATCAAATTTTCTTAAATATTTACAAAAATTCACAACTGTCACATGTGGGAATTATATACAGAATTATGTAGTCAGTATCTTTTGATACCTAATGATTTTAGTCATTCTCTACTGAAGAAGATTAAATAGAAAAAAGACCTGAAGTTTTGCATTTTAGTAGTGAGTGACAATATGGATAAAGCTTATGCTTGAAGATAAGCTGATGCTGCAGTTCAAAATGGGAAAACTTCACATTGGACTGTTTAAACTTTAGATGTACCCAGCTGCTGCTTAACACTTACAGCAGTTCTTGATAATCTTTTAGGTGTATCAATAAGCATGTTCAACATTAATCTTGTAGTACTTTATGCATGTACTGCAGAATTGTACAGACTTGTTACCAGGACATGTAGAGGTTGGGGTTCTTTGATCACCTTTAGAATTGTCATGCTGAATCACTTTGTTGAGATTATACAAAATCACTTTGGATCCCACAGCTACAAAATGTGCAATAGCAACCAGGGACATTTACCCCCTTAACTGTGACCATCTAAAATTGCACTGGACTGTCCCATTGGAGAATGTACTGTCTCACAGTTGTAAGCCTTGTGTGTTTCCCAAAGTTTCACTTTCTACCATGCTCCTTGTCCATCTTGGGGAGGATGGATGTCTTACTCTTTTAAGAAAGTATTAGAGGCAAATGGACTTTACAAGCTGTTTGTCCCTTCTTTCATAAAATGTCATTGCCTGTATTTGCTGCCTGTCTACCTATTTTCCTGCTTTGTGGACAGCTGGTCAAAGCTGAAAATTTGCTTTGTATACATATAAACTGATGTGTTGTAACATGTGGTATGATGTTACCCGTGTTAACATTAAGTGAATGTTTCGATACAGTACCTGAAGAATAGCTACAATATTACATAGACCCTTTATAGAGAGCAATAATCCTTTGGCCCAAATGGTCTGTGCTGATGTCTGGACTGCACATGACCCTGCTTTGATTATAATTTCCTCTTCCCACCCTGTCTGCTGGTATTGCCCCATGAATGCTTCAGTGCTGTCTGCTTGAATCGCTTCATGTGCCAGCACATTCCTCATTCATGCCACTTTTGTGTAAAACTCATAATTATATCTTTGTAACAATGGTTATCTTACGTGATTATTCCCTGGTTCTGGCTTACCCCTAGCAAGTGCGACAGTTTCACAAGATCCAGTCTGTTGAACCCTTTCTTAATTGTACTGGATTGAATTGATGTTTAAACCATTTTTGCATCACCAGGAATAGACTACTTTGCAGTCAGCACTATTGGTTTGTTGAGTTAAACAGTTATTGACAGATCAGTATTCTTTTATAGTCTTGAGATGCTGCATTGTGTTCTAAGCAGCTATTTAGGATTTCCCAAAACCAATGTTTTAAAGAAGCAATTCAGGCTTTAAAACATTGTTGTACCCTTTCAGTTTATTGTAATTTTATGGTATGGAATAACTTAGCAAAAATACTGGCACAGCTGCTTACGAAACACTGAACATTTTGGAAGTTTCTCGTTGTACTCCAATCTCAGTGATCCTTCCACTTCCATTATCATAGTTGTGTTGGGCAAACCACAAGACAGCTGGCTCAGGACTTTCTCTGACAATTGATATCTTTCTACAATAACATTTGGTTGAAATAAGTGATGATTGGTGCATGACCACTCCTCCATTTGTAGGAATCGTGTGGTAAATCACAGCGTTCTGCATACAGACACACAGGTCTCTACTTTCTGCTTTGTTATAGCGCTTTTCGCTTTGACACATTATTGTAATATGAACAGTTCTTCTGAGAACTATTATGTATGTTAATGTACCTTATTGATTTTCGGGCAGCACTGACGGCTTGCTTTTCTTTTGATACTTTAGTGATAAGATACTTTTCAAAATTTTTGAGGAAAGGTTTTTAGCATTTTGTTCAAAACATTCAGAATTTAGCAAGCATCTTCCTAAAAATCGATTATCTGATTTAAAGTGTGACAGAAGAGACATGAATCTCAGTTGACAAGAGTATGATGTTAACTTGAAGTTCAAAACTTGTCTTCAGATTAAGACTGTGCATCACCCGCTGCTCCAGTTCAATTTATTTTTGTCTCCATGGGTATGTTTCGCTTCTATGGTTCTTTTGTTGAGCAGTAATTAGCATAATACACCTGTATATCTGTCATCCATCTTATTTTAAAAAGTCTGTGCATTTGACAAATATGTTGCAAATTAGTGACTTTGTTGTTTGTTTAAATGCTTGACAGCTTTGGGCAGAGGAGGTGACAAAAGTAAGTAAAAGTAAAGCTGTTTTCTTGTAATAAACCTGAACCCTCAAGTGTTTAGGGCACAGTAACCTGATTAATATTTGAATTGCTTTGCAAAAAGTTTGAGAATTTGGTTTTTGAGTAGCAGCTATAAGTAAATGTTGACTTCAGATATAGTTATTTTCTTAAATATCTGCCAATAATCAGCTCTTTTATGGAAATGTAGTCCTGTTATAAAACCGCTTTCTCGTCCCGTGTAGTAGGAAAGGAGCTTCAGGATGGCATTGTGCAACACACCTGTATAATTACAACTGAGTTCCATGCCTTTTGGATCATAGTTCTGTGTTCCTTCTGTTATAAGTGAGCTGCACTGAAATAGCTGTCAATCTAACTATTGAGTCAGGCATTGGGAGGCTGAGTGACACTTGGATTTTGTGACAGGCTAGAGTTGAGAACTTGCTGTTCAGGAGTGAGTGGGAGAAAAGAAAGAGTATCTGTATTTGATCACTAAGAAATAGCATCAATCTGTGCTGTATAGTCTGATGCTAATATTGCTATTTTTAAAATGGATTGCTGTTCAATCTAGTTCTTTCACAGTTAGTGTTGATATTGTGCAATTTAAATGATTAAATGTAAAGTCAAGCTGTGCACTTTTAATAGTCGTTGATAATTACATTCTTAGTTATTGATAACCATACATTAGAATGCTTAAGCAGTTCTACATAATAGGTTTAAAAATTAGATCTTGAAGCTGTTTCTTCTGCATGTAATTTTTAGATTATTTTAATTCTTCTTTAATATGCAGTGTTATCAATTTTACAAATTAAGATTGCACAAAGTCTGCAATGATTTAATTCTAGATCAATGCCTTTCTCTTTTTAAGTGTGCAATTCCTGCAGGTGTTGACTCACATCTGGGGGCTCTACAAGCTTGCAGTTAGCCAAAGGAAAACTGCTATTGTAGAAAATAGTGCTCCGGTTTCCTCCCACAGTCCAAGGATGTGCAGATTAGGTGGATTGGTCGTGGGAAATTGTCCGTAGTGTTCAGAGATGTCTAAATTAGGTGGATTATAGGGGAATGGGTCTGGATGAATGCTCTGAGGGTTGGTGTGGACTTGTTGGCCAAAGGGCCTGTTTCCACACTGTAGGCAATCTATAAACTGCATGCTAGAAAGTGACATTCAAAAAGCTGCACAAACACAAGTGATGGTTGACCCATGGAACCTCTTTTGAAAGCTTTTTTTTTTGATGTTTTCAGTGTTAAAATAAAAAAGCTTACCCCAAGACATACAAGAAAAAATTTTATTTTTTTTAAATTCCACTTGTAATTCATTGCAGTCTGTGGAAAAACCTGTTGACTGCCCGTTGGATCCTATTGCTAGGTTTTTGAGGTGACAGTTGCCATTTTCTTTTACACTTTAGTCAGTTTCAAATGAGATTACACATTTAAATTCATACTCGTAAGTTGTAGAAAACTATTGATTAATTGTGCAGTTAGCTTAATCTGTAGGAAATGTGTAGATAATTTCAGTTGAATTCTATCGTCTCTCCATCACTCGGGCATTTAAAAATATAGTACTGTTTTTTAACGTGGGAATTAAATAGTCAGAAAATAAGTTCTTCTACCTCTACACTCCCCACCAGCCTCTCCTCCACATCCGGTACCGTTCCTTGCAGCACCTGCCCCTAGACCTCCCCTCTCACCTCCTTCCAAGGTCCCAAACAATCCTTCCAGAAATCAGAAATCAGAGATTCACTTGCACCTCCTCCAACCTGATTTATTGCATCCGTTGCTCCTGATGTGGTCCCCTTTATATTAGGGAGACGAAACACAGACTAGGGGACCAGTTTGCGGAGCATCTGCGCTCTGCACACACCAACCAACCCGACCTTCCGGTTGCCATCCATTTCAATTCTCCCTCCAGCTCCCCTGGTGATATGTCCATCCTTGGCCGCCTCCACTGTCAGAGTGAGGCCAAACGTAAACTGGAGGAACAATACCTGAATATTTCACCGTGGGAGCTTGAGCCCAACAGCCTGAATATTGACGTCTTCAGCTTCAAAATGTCTCTATCCCAGTCTTATCCCATGTCCTGCCTCCCTAATCTGTCCTAATTGTCCATCTTTCTACTCCTATATCTGCTTGACCCTTCACACTGACTAATGACTATAACTCCTTATCTGCATTCACCTATCACTATCCCACCTACCTTTCCCCAGCCCCACCCCCTTCCTCTATTTATTTCTGGGCTCCCCTCCTCCTCCCCAGTCCTGGAGAAGGGTTTCAGCCCGAAACGTTGACTTTCCTATTCCTCGGAAGCTGACTGACCTGCATTTGTCCACTTCCACGTTTATTGACTCTGGCTTCCAGTATCCGCATTCTCCTTAACATTTGTAATTAGATTCTTGAGCTGAGATTTTTAAATATTTTTCTGGTGAGCGGAATTTTTTAGCTAATATCTGGCTTAAAAAGTAGAAGTGTCTTTTTTCCCCTGAAAAGCTATTTCCTTGTTCAAATGCCCGAACATTTATTTACTCTCTCTCTACGTAGGCTGAGCAGGAAATGCGGATTACACAAAGTGAATTTGACCGCCAAGCAGAGATCACAAGACTTTTGCTTGAAGGAATTAGCAGCACTCATGTAAGTTCCTCTAACCCTTATCAGTGGCCTTACTGAATTGCTTATTTAATGCTGTCATCTTATCCAGTTCCCTGCTGATCTCCATTAACAGCCATTAGAGAGAACCTGACTGGTAATTACAGATACCATTTCAGTCTAAACACATTAAACTGTCTCGTAACTCTTGGATGATTTTGAAAGAAAAAACAAATTGCTGATTTAATGACCTTTTTTGCCAATGTGTCTTTTCCATTCTGCTCTTTGTTTCTTGCCCCCACAGGCTCATCACCTTCGTTGTCTGCATGACTACGTTGATGCCCAATTGACCTACTATGCTCAGTGTTACCAGTATATGGTTGACTTACAGAAGCAGCTTGGAAGGTAATAAAGCTTTTCAGTGGAAAAGGGTCTTTGTGCAGTAAATAATGGCTCACAACATCAAAGCAGGTTTAAGGATATTTAAATCTTTCCTGTACAATTTAGTGCAGAGCTACAGCCAGACAAATTTTCAAACCAATAAAGATCATTAAGTGACTAAAATGCTTTGGGGCTTCCTGATGTGTAATAGGAATATGAGTTCAAGTTTTCTTTCTCTAAAGAGTAGTGGTAAATGATTGTTTTTCAGGTTGCTCAGGAGTCATACTAGGATCACTGCTTTTCTTCGTCTGTTTTAATGACACGACTTGGTGTGAAAATTTGCAGATTGTGAACCGAGGGGTGGATAGTGATAGACTCCAAGGAGTTATAACCTGGAGGGATTGAAAGACACGCGGCAGATGAAATTTAATGCAGAGCACTGTAATGTGAGTTGTTTTAGAATGTTGACAGGCAATATAGAGTCATAGAGATATACAGCACCGAAAGAGACCCTTCAGTCCAACTGTTCCATGCCGACCAGATATCTTAAATTAATCTAGTCCCATTTGCCAGCATTTGGCCTGTCTCCCTCCTAAACCCTTCCTATTCGAGTGCCCATCCATATGCCTTTTAAATGTTGTAATTGTACCAGCCTCCTCCACTTCCTCTGGCAGCTCATTCCATACACGTACCGTCCTCTGTGTGAAAACGTTACCTCTTAGATCCCTTTTTAAATCTTTCTCCTCTCCCCTCAAACCTATGCCCTCTAGTTTTGGACTCCCCCACCCTTGGGGGAAGAAGACCTTGGCAATTCACCCTATCCATGCCCCTTGTGATTTTATAAAGCTAAGGTCACCCCTTGGTCTCTGAAAATCAAGTGAAAATAGCCCCAGCCTATTCAGCCTCTTCCTATAACACAAACCCTCCAACGTTGGCAACATCCTTGTAAATTTTTTCTGAACCCTCCAGTTTTACAATGTCTTTCCTATAGCAGGGAGACCAGAATTGAACGCAGTATTCCAAAAGTGTCCTAATCAATGCCCTGTACAGCTGCATCATGAGATCCCAGCTCCTGTACTCGATGCAATGACAAATAACATCAAGAGTATCAAACATCACCTTCACTACCCTGTCTATCTGCAACTCTACTTTGAAGGAACTCTGAACCTGCACCCCAAGGTCTCTTTGTTTCGCAGCACTCCCCAGGAGCCCACCATTAAGTGATAAGCCCTGCCCTGATTTGCCTTATTAAAATGCAGCACCTCACATTTATCTAAATTAAACTCTATCTGACACTCCTCAGCCCACATGGAACTCCAGTCTCAGAGGCTAGAGGAGATCACAGAGATCAGGAGGGAGGAAGGGAGGTGAGGGGGCTTGAAATATGGGGATACAAGTTTTAAAATGGGGGCCAAGGTTTTTCTGCAAGAGCACAGGAACAGGCCCTTTGGCCTGCCATGTCTGTGCCAACCGTGATGCCATTCTCATACAATCCCACTTGCCTGCATATGGTCTGTATCCCTCTATTCCTTGCCTGTTCACATGCCTGCTTGAATGCCTCTTAAACGTTGCTAATGTATCTGCTTCTGTCACCTGCCCTGGCAGCGCATTCCAAGCACTCACCACCCTCTGTATTTAAACAAAAAACTCAAACTTTTTGCCCCTCATCTTAAATCTGTGCTGTCCTAGTATTTGACATTTCCACCCTGGGAAAAAGACTCTGACTATCCACCCAATATATGCCCCTCAATTTTACAAACTTCTTTCAGGTCGCCCCTTAGCTTCTGATGCTCTAGCAAAAACAATCCAAGTTTGTCCAACCTCTCCTTATAGGAAATACACTTCAATTCAGGCAATGTCCTGGTAAACCTCTTCTGCAACCTTTCCAAAACCTCTCATCTTCCCAACAGTTCCTTTTGGAATCTTTTCCTCAGGTTCTCTCTGAAAAATAAAAAAGCACAATTCTAGAGGGAACACGGTAACAGAGGAGTGTCTGTGTGTGTCTGTGTGTGTCTGTGTGTGTCTGTGTGTGTCTG